TCAGAATCCTGTATCCCACTTATCATTGTAATAAAAGTGCTTGTTATTTAACTTGTCCTGCCTGACTTTGTTTCCTTTTTTCACGCAAAATAATTTGACTTTCACATGTCACGCTTATAAAAAATCAGCCAATCACACATCACGCTTAGACCCCAATGAGACTTTCTATTGCATTTTCCCTTTTTGAATCTGCATTAAATGTATACACAATTTGTTTCATTCACATTTTTACTATGTTTGATGTTTAATAACTTGTTAAGGTTTATCCTAACTCTTTTGACAAAAATGACTGTGTTTACACCGTGAAATACAGAAAAATCTGTGTAACTGGAACAGTGTTAAGGCCTAGTAACACCTAGATATATTTAAAAGGTCTATATTTTGTGGTTTAGAAAAATGGAATTGATTTTAGAATTTTTCAATTTATTTTTGCATCACTGCAGAATCATGTGTTAAAATAAACAAACACCTGCATTTTATTTTATTTTTTCCCACTTAATTACCTGTTTCATATATAACTGTGTCATATCAAGCAATACAATACAATTCAATTGTGTACCTGAGAGGGACATCTCAAATGATTTTACCTAACTTTGTTTATTTTTACACCTGTTGCTAAGTTATAAAATGCATATCATAGTCCAGAAAACTCTCTGAAAGACAAAATGCATTTAACTTATATATGAACCACTCCATGCGAATAGGTACAAAAAGTATTTTTTACAAACTTTACAGGACATGTTGTTAAGTTTGTTAAAACATTTTTGAAAAAAAATGATTATATCCGTAAAAATATAGTGTATACACTTTCATAAAAATGCCAATTCTGTCCTGAATTTGCCAGTTAAAACGGAAAAAGATGTAGAAATATATCAATTTTTGTATTAAGGCAGGTCATGAAATGTTTCACTAAACAGTGCTATACTAAGCTGAAATAAAACCATTTATTACAATATAGAGGACAATGTCAACTGTGAATTTTCATCATCTCTAAACTTTATATATGGAAAATGCAAAAATTATGTCATCTTGTGATTTTGAAATTGACATTTTAGTTAAGTGAAGTTAAGTTATTGAATATTATATAAATCAACAGTCCTTGGAGGGGATTTGAAAGTTAAGTTATTAAATATTATATCAACCAACAGTCCTTGGAGGGGATTCAAAAGTTAAGTTATTAAATATTATATCAACCAACAGTCCTTGGACGGGATTCAAAAGTTAAGTTATTAAATATTATATCAACCAACAGTCCTTGGACGGGATTCAAAAGTTAAGTTATTAAATATTATATCAACCAACAGTCCTTGGACGGGATTCAAAAGTTAAGTTATTAAATATTATATCAACCAACAGTCCTTGGACGGGATTCAAAAGTTAAGTTATTAAATATTATATCAACCAACAGTCCTTGGACGGGATTCGAACTGTTACCCCTTTTAGATCTATTTCTGCATTGTAAGAGAGGGCCTTATCCCCACTGCTACCCAAGAGATCGTCATCAAGAGGCAAGTTAATATACTTAATTAAACTGTACATGAACAAATGAATATAAAATTTGAAAAAAAAATGATCAAAATATTACAAAAGGAAGGGGGATGTGTAAGCACAGACACGTGTATATAGCTTACAGCTAAATCGTATAAGGAAAAGGAATGGTGTTTTAATGATCACAAGTATCATCTACCAATAAGTATGCACAATTTTTAGAATTTCATTAATTTTTTGTTTGTGTACCTTTTTGCATACCCTGGATAATTTTTGTTTTGTTTTAAATGAATTTAATAACTAATATTTTTAAAAAAGTACATAACTTGTGTAATTGTCATTCTCACTAAACATTTGTTAATATTGAAAAGAAAAAGTTGCAAGCTTATTTGACATTTAAACATGTTAACATTTTCTATGAATCTAAGTATTAAGGTTCAAATGCCATGTAAAGTATTGAATTATTATTTATATTTTGAACTTGTAAAATATTGACCTTATGACATTGTATGAAATTGTTAATTTATGTTTTTTTTAAAGCTAAATGACACCATTTAACTGTGACATCAATGTAGTGACATCAAAATGGAGATTTACCCAATTTTAATCAAATAAAAAAGGAACTTCAGGAACATTTTGGCTAAAGGAGAAGGTCCGGAAAGGGCCAATTTTGGCCTAAAATGTCAGGTACATCTGATGAAAGACTTTTGACATTTTTTAAACAATTAAGTGTCTACTTCAGTCGATTCAATTATTTTCTGTGAAAGATTTGAACTGATTTGGTCATTAAAGACGCTCAATTTCAAGCTTAAATGTGAAAAATCTATCAAATATGCCATAAAACGTCACTTTTCAGATGGTTTTTGTCAAAAATGTTAGTGGCCGCATTCGTGTTCAGTCTCAACCTTTATATATGTTATGTATTATCATCAAATACAACATACCTTTAAATATTGAGACTTAACACAAATGTGGCCACTTCCGTTTTAGACAAAAACCTCCTAAAAAATTAGCACAAGTGCTAAAATTGTGAAGATTTCAGTAATATTGCATGAATGAATGATGCTAATATCTGATGCATGTGCATTGTTTTGTCAAAAACAGCCCATATTTGTGTAATAGAAGTATTCTTCTTTCAATAAATAGCTAAAAGTTTATATTTTTAACAAATTTGTAAAACTGCTATATTTTGGGGCCAAAAAGGGGTCTTACTGGGCCTTCTCCTTTGATGAACAAGTGTTGTCCAAAACAATTTTTTGTGTCAGCAAATAGATTAAATACTAATATGAAAATAAGGTGATTGCCGAGACAACTCTCCACAAGAGACCAAATGACACAGAAATTAACAACTATAGGTCACTGTGCGGCCTTCAACAATGAGCAAAGCCCATACTGCATAGTCAGCTATACAAAAAACACAAATCCTGTGTTGACATCTTTTTGTCCGTAGGTTCTGCTCTATTATAATGAGTGCTATACTGTTTCTTAGCAACTTTGATAAAAATTGTCTGAAGTGAATTTATCATTTCTCCTAAGTTAAAAATTATAATGTCTTTAAAATGTTTGAATTGAAAGAGAAGGTGAATAATTCAGGAAATCAGAGAAATTGGAATAATGATAATCATGATAATGGAACTGGTGTAGGAAAATACCAGCTTTATTCAATGTTATTGAGGACCAAGAAAGTGGGAAAAGATGACCGTCATCTATTGAGGATCAATAACACAAGATCTACAGTCATTTGTTAACTACATATGTCCTTCTTGTCTGTACTCCAACCTATCGTCCATTCTGTATCAGGTGAAAGTTTTTGGCCAAAATAGTTTTTTAACATATTTGCCAAAATTAGAGGTTTGAACAAGATTTCATAATTAGCATAAAAATTTGCATACTTCAGTCTCGAGGCCCCAAAGTCTCTCGTAACTTGACATCCATGGAAATAGAAGTTGGGGTGCAGGAATCGGCGGGTCTCTGTGAGGGTTGTCCAGGTGTGAGAAAATGAAGGGTGGCGGGTGGGTGAGGATTGCATGGGTGAAGAGATAAATGACATGAATGAAGGGTGAACAAATTGACGCCAGATTTTTTGTGGATCCAGGAACTGTTAGTCGACTCTAGAAGCAGCAAGGCGGCGCATCCGTTCTGGACGGGCAGGTGTCCACAAGCCATGGCTTGTCGAGCAGGGCAGCCGTTGGACATTGGAGTAATCTCGGACTATAGCCTCTATTGTGCTCTTTCCAATAAATATTGAATTGAATTGAATTGAATAGTTCTCTGAGATTGGAAATGTTTATTTACTTTCTTGTATAAATGTGAACTTTTTAAAGTATATGCCAAATTAAGGCTTTTAACCCAGATTTAATTGTTCACTGAACATGGAAAAGTGATAGCCAAACCAGGACAAGGTGTCCACTCATATTCTTTCTTGTTAAATTTTATAAAAATAAAATACTATTTCTGTTTATAATCTTAATAAGCTATTGTAGATAGACAGAATTGTTAATAGCAAATATAACCAGATATCAAAATAAGTCACATTACGAAACTGTCAGATAAATGTTTTAAGGAGTTATTCTTTGGTGTGGGAATTTTCTTAACATACTACAATTTTCATCTTTTTTAATCATGTTAATTGTCTGGACAATTTTTCAATCTTTATGGCATTAGATGTGTTCTTCAAACTAGAAATGTACAATGTGTCTACACATCTCAAACTACTAACCCAATTTAAACAAAACTAGAAACAATTGATCCTGGCAGCAAAAATGCTCTGACATAAAATCTAGATCTACTGTGCAATTAAATCATTCAATTGTAAGATGATATATTTTTGCAGTTATTTCCCTTTAGTTATAATTTGTAGAAATTATTTTTTTTGGATATTATCTTACAATTAAACAATAATGTATGGAGAGAAACATTGATATATTCTATGATCACTGCTTTGGGGAGGGCCATATGATGTGGTAGGGGTGGGACTTGATGAATAATTTCTTTATTGTGACTTTCATGTAAGTAAATAATGTGACCCAGGCCTTGATTAGATTTGACTGTATATATTTGAAAATAAGAATTGTTTTATTTTGAGAAAAAATTTTTGAAGGAGAAATTGAAAAAAAAACTTTTGCCAGGTTACAATGTATTTGAGCCAGGCTTCTACTTTTCTTTCTTTTCAGTACGGTGTTTATTGAACTTACCTTTATGAATAATTTCATTCATTTTCTTTTAAAGTTCTGAAATGGGATGTCAGGGTTACAGATTTAGAGCCATGACAGGACCGAATATTGCTGTTTAAATTTTATTCTGAATATATTTTATTTATATTTTGCATTTAATATAAGATATAAATATTGTGTGGAGAATCACCTGTTATATCATAATATTTATTCTATTGATAATACAGGTAGCCATTTCAAGTGGAAAACAAACGAACAAATCCAAAATCAGATTAGCTGTTATAATCACACGGTAAACATTTATATATTTAAATACCAGATTTTGAAACAATATTCCCTGATAAAGCACAGATATGATTCAGCCGTTTATGGTTGTCTTTATAAAACGGTAACATTTTGTTTGTGAAATATGTGTATTGGCCATGTATAATGGAGAAATATCTTTGTCTTTGTATGGATGCTAACCTTCATGCTTGACTAAACAAGGTCCAGGTTGCTAACGTCTTTGAGATAATACGGATTAGGAAAAGACTTGGAAAATCTCCCGTCACTTAACAGTACAAAGATACCGAGTCATTTTGGCGATTTATTGATTTATTTGACTATTTAGTATTTTATCATACATTTGAATTATCGTGTCTTAAGGTTTTGTTTTTGGATATCTCTAAATTTTATTCCTGGATTAAGTTCGTGGATTACGTGATTTTCTCTCTCATAAATAAGGATTAGTATTTGTTGTTTTACTGTTGTACATCACATACAAATAGTGCTATAAGAAGGATATATATGTGTGAACAAATTAACTGTCACCTGTCAAATACTGCAATTTGATTTTCCAGAGTTTTAACCTTTTCAGGTAAGATTATCTTTTTGGTCATTATGGTCAGTTTATTTTAAAATTTCAATGCAAAATCAGTGACTTTTATAGTTTATTTGTTTTTATCTCAGATTTTCAACATTAATATTTAATAACATATACAACTAGATAGATGGTATATAAAATGAACTATTTTCTAGGAAGCATGTAAAGATCTATAGATTGTAACATGTAAAATCCTACACTGGTTTTCTAGGAAGCATGTAGCGATCTATACATTGCACCCATGTATAATCGTACACTGGAATGATTGTATTGTATGTGTTGTTTGGTTGCTCTCTCATTGACATATAACACACTTCATCTTTTATAGCTCACCTGGCCAAAAGGCCGTATATTTTATAAACTATGTATGATAGATAGAAAGAAACTTTTAAAAGCCAAAATGATCAACAAGTCAAGATTTTCTAATAAGACGGATGAGAAAAATCGTCAGTAGACTCCTTACTAAAGTTATTGCCCTTTAATGACGATTTTTCACCATTTTTTGCATTTTTGCCTTTTATTTTGAAAACTATAAATAAATTGCTAGATTGAAACATTATATTGCAAAAATGAACAGCAAAAATCTTTAGTTGACTCTTTTTTGGAGTTATTTCCCTTTAAAGTTGTTTTTACCATTTTTTGGAGTTTTTGCCATAGAATTCAGATTGAGAGAAACTAAGATTTATTTTAATAAGTTTGAGGAGCAGTATTATATAATGATTTTTGATGAAAGAAAAAAATTGATGGTTAGCCCATTCTTCTTTGTCAAAAATATATTATAAAAGTAATATGAAGGTACAGTCAGAAAAGAACTGAGAATAATTATGGTATTTTTATGGTAATAATAAATATTTGTGAATGCATATTAGGTTGCAATTAAATACTCAATTTGAATTTATTTTGCATTAATTAAAATTTTTCTTTAAGAAATGATTTAGAACATTGTAGAAATTAAAATGTAAAGGTGAATTTATTGATGTCTAGTTCTTAAAATTAAATTGAGTAGAATGACTAAAATATATAAATTTATCATACGTACATTATGAGATGTTTGTAAAATGTAAACAATTGTTTACTTAACAACTTTCCTTCGAATCTTTATTACAAAAAAACAAAAAAGCAATTGTAAACAGTTTTACAGGATACTGTAAAACATTTGTACTATACAGACATATTTTCAACGGTTGCTATCTTTTTTCAATTTTAACTATTTGACTGTTTTTTTCTCTCATGAAATTGCTTCCCCCCATATTTTTGGGCTGTCATAACCGATAAATGCTTATCTAGTGGCCATGGCTGCAGTGGTTGTTTGTGGCATTAACTATTTGTATTAAACTTCATATTTTTAAAGGTAGAAGAGTTCTTCGGTTTGTTTGTTCCTGCCGAGATGCACAATGGTTCTTCTTCACCATAATAACAGACTTCCCGGTGTCCTAACACTCCCTCTGTGTTTGGTTGGGGATTACCCTTTCCCTCTATTTGGTATCTGTTCACCTCTTTTTGGTATTTTTCACCTCTGGTATCTTTCGCCCCCTTTGGTATCTTTTGCCTCCCTTTGGCATCTTTTGCTTTTCTTTGGTATCTTTCACCTCTTTTTGGTATCTTTCGTCTCCCTTTGGTATTGTTCGCTCCTTTTTGGGATCATTCACCTCTCTTTGGTATATTTCACCTCTCTTTGGTATCTTTCACCTCTCTTTGGGATCATTCACCTCTCTTTGGTATCTTTCACCTCTCTTTGGGATCATTCACCTCTCTTTGGTATTTTTCACCTCTCTTTGGTATCTTTCACCTCTCTTTGGTATCTTTCACCTCTCTTTGGTTTCTTCGCCTCCCTTTGGCATCTTTCACTTTTCTTTTATATCTTTTACCTCTCTTTGGTATCTTTCGTCTCCCTTTGGTATTGTTCGCTTCTTTTTGGGATCATTCACCTATCTTTGGTATATTTCGCCTCTCTATGATATCTTTCGTCTCCCTTTGGTATTGTTCGCTCCTTTTTGGGACCATTCACCTCTCTTTGGTATTTTTCACCTCTCTTAAAAGACTTTGGTATCTTTCACCTCTCTTTGGGATCATTCACCTCTCTTTGGTATCTTTCACCTCTCTTTCGGATCATTCACCTCTCTTTGGTATTTTTCACCTCTCTTTGGTATCTTTTACCTCTCTTTGGTATCTTCGCCTCCCTTTGGCATCTTTCGCTTCTCTTTGGTATCTTTCACCTCCATTTGGTATCTTTTGCCTCCCTTTGGTATCTGTTCACCTCTCTTTGGTATCTTTGGCCTCTCTGGTATCTTTCGCCTCCCTTTGGTATCTTTTACCTCTCTTTGGTATCTTCGCCTCCCTTTGGCATCTTTCACTTCTCTTTGGTATCTTTCACCTCCCTTTGGTATCTTTCGCCTCCCTTTGGTATCTTTGCCTCCCTTTGGTATCTTTCTCTTCTCTTTGGTATCTTTCACATCTCTTTGGTATCTTTCGCCTCCCTTTGGTATCTTTCACCTCCCTTTGGTATCTTTCGCTACTCTTTGGTATCTTTGGCCTCTTTCACCTCCCTTTGGTATCTTTCACCTCCCTTTGGTATCTTTCGCTACTCTTTGGTATCTTTCGCCTCCCTTTGGTATCTTTCGCCTCCCTTTGGTATCTTTCGCCTCCCTTTGGCATCTTTCGCTTTTCTTTGGTATCTTTCGCCTCTCTTTGGTATCTTTCGTCTCCCTTTGGTATTGTTCGCTTCTCTTTGGTATCTTTGGCCTCTCTTAGGTATCTGTGGCCTCTCTTTGGTATCTTTCTCTTCTCTTTGGTATCTTTTACCTCTCTTTGGTATCTTTTGCCTCTCTATGGTATCTTTCACCTCTCTTTTGATTCACTTCAACAATTCTGTAGTATTGAACAAAACTCAATTACAACAGCCCCTAAATTAAGTACCATATATCTGTATTGAAGAGTATTAGACAATCAATGGCTAACACCAACAGCCCCTTATATTAAATACCTAATATATTTCACTATAACCTGTATTGGAGAGTATTAGACAATCTATGGGTAACACCAACAGCCCCCTAAATTAAATACCATATATATTTCACTATAACCTGTATTGAAGAGTATTAGACAATCAATGGCTAACACCAACAGCCCCCTAAATTAAATACCTAATATATTTCACTATAACCTGTATTGAAGATTATTAGGCAATCAATGGCCAACACCAACAGCCCCCTAAATTAAATACCTAATATATTTCACTATAACCTGTATTGTAGAGTATTAGACAATCTATGGGTAACACCAACAGCCCCTAAATTAAATATTTAATATATCTCACTTTAACCTGTATTGGAGAGTAACCAATCTATTACACTAAATAAACATCGTACTTTAATCACAGTTAGTGATTGCCATGTCTGTAACACTATTCTCTCAGGCTGAAAAATTGCAGGAAGTTTGAAAGTTTATCACATTTGAACATACAACCATAAATAATTGAGTCTATTATCAAAGAAAATGATGTGGTATCTATGTTATATATGATGATTAAGGACTGTTTAGTATTATGTATTTTATTGCTGTTTACACCAGATTGATATAACAAGCAGTTTATATAATCAGTGACATAAGTACCTCTCCACACATTCTTGGGGACAATACAAGGTTTATTGAGTTGCACCAAAGTTTCCGGGGGGTTTTACCATTGAAACTAAGAATTTATATGAAGTATTTATGGTATTAACTTTAATGTAGGATAGGACTATAAAATGCACTGTCATTTATTATGGACTGCCTGTAAACATCAATAGAGTCAAATTTAAAATTATGTTCATTTTCAGATACACTATGAGTCCTTACCTCTTGATAAATATATCTGACTGCTGCTTGAAATGAATTCATTCCTTGCACCAATACTCCTAGGCTACGGAGTAGTAAATTCCTTGCACCAATACTCCTAGGCTACAGACTAGTAAATTTCTTGCACCAATACTCCTAGGCTACGGAGTAGTAAATTCCTTGCACAAATACTAGGCTACCGAGTAGTAAATTCCTTGCACTAGTACTCCAAGGCTACAGACTAGTAAATTCCTTGCACCAATACTCCTAGGCTACAAACTAGTAAATTCCTTGTTCCAATACTTCTAGGCTATAGACTAGGTCATTCCTTGCACCAATGCTCCTAGGCTACGGAGTAGTAAATTCCTTGCACCTGTACTCCGAGGCTACAGACTAGTAAATTCCTTGCACCAATACTCCTAGGCTACAGACTAGTAAATTCCTTGCACCAATACTGATATGCTACAGACTAGTAAATTCCTTGCACCAATACTCCTAGGCTACGGACTAGTAAATTCCTTGCACTAATTCTCGTAGGCTACAGACTAGGTCATTCCTTGCACAAATACTCCTAGGCTACAGACTAGTAAATTCCTTGCACCAGTACTCCTAGGCTACGGAGTAGTAAATTCCTTGCACCAATACTCCTAGGCTACAGACTAAGGTCATTCCTTGCACCAATACTTGTAGGCTACAGACTAGTAAATTCCTTGCACCAATACTTCTAGGCTATAGACTAGGTCATTCCTTGCACCAATACTCCTAGGCTACGGAGAAGTTAATTCCTTGCACCAGTACTCTTAGGCTACAGACTAGTAAATTCCTTGCACCAATACTCCTAGGCTACAGACTAGTAAATTCCTAGCACCAATACTGATATGCTACAGACTAGTAAATTCCTTGCACCAATACTCCTAGGCTAAGGAGTAGTAAATTCCTTGCACCAATACTCCTAGGCTACAGACTAGTAAATTCCTTGCACCAATACTCCTAGGCTAAGGAGTAGTAAATTCCTTGCACCAATACTCTTAGGCTACAGACTAGTAAATTCCTTGCACCAATACTCCTAGGCTACGGACTAGTAAATTCCTTGCACTAATTCTCGTAGGCTACAGACTAGGTCATTCCTTGCACAAATACTCCTAGGCTACAGACTAGTAAATTCCTTGCACCAGTAC